AACTATTTAGTGTACAATACTAGTCAATGTAATTAATTACTACCTCCCCAACCCAGAAGTAGGCAGTTTTTACTTCTCAGCACTGTCACTATCTGTAAATATCTGTGTGTAAATATCTGGTTTTGTCTCGGTGACCCTGCTTTGCCCCACACTTTGGGATTTGAGCAGGCAGGGATTTATATTGTCTGGTATTGGTACATAGTTTACCATAATCACAGGATATTATTGAAAGATTTCCCTACCAATTCACTGCCTTAAAAGCATTATATTATTTGCTCTGTGTGTGTGTGTTACTTTAAGTGTACTCTGGTTCCAGAGGCTCTTTGCGAGGCGAAAGAAACAAGATGCGAGAACGAAGAGCCTCTGGTCACATCAGGGCCGTATCACCAGGGGGCAGTAAGGCTTATATGTTGAAAAAAGTTCCAAATATCCAAAGAATAATTAATAATGACATTCTAAAAATTGTAAATATAGTTTTTTTTAGGAGGGCAGTTTCCCCCTCCTGCCGCCCCCTCCCCTGTGCTGTGTACAGCCCAGGGTCACTGTCCATTGCAAATCCCACTTCCACACTTGATTAGGTTCAGCATTTGAATTTCGCATGTGATTGCCCATTTGTAAAAATATGCCAAACTGGCTTGGGAAATAAACATTGCTGTAAGCTAATTATAGCCTGTATTAAAATATTCTATTAAACTCAACCAAGAATGTATTACGTCATGTCCTGCAAAACTGATTAATGTTGATATGTTTATCTCCTGAGAAATTTAATACCTTTTCACCTGCGGGAGTACTAATATTCATGCTTGGTTGAGTTTACTATAATAGCTTGGGGCTTTTTAATTGGGGCTTCGGTGGCCAAGTGGTTAGCGCACTTGCCTGTCACCTCTGAGGCCGCAGGTTCAAGTCAGTGAGAACTTTCTCAATGCGACTCAAACCCAGTCCTCATGTGAAAAGAATAAACCGCAACGCTCTGCCGAACGTCACAGGTTTTCCCGGGTACTCCAGTTTCCTCCCACATGGAAAGTTGACAGGGTGGGTTGGGTAAAAAGGGCTCACAGTAATTGGCATATGCTGTTGTGGTGACCCGGCCCTATTTGGCATGCTAAATAGATAGATAGCTATAATTAGCTCACAGTACCGGTAGTTTTTATTTCCCAAACAGGTTTGACATATTTTTACAAATGTCCAATCACATGTATGCAAGATTCAAATTCTGAACCTATTCAAGTGTGGAAGTGGGATTTGCAATTGATATGATCAGAGGCTTTCCATTCTCACCTCTTGTTTCTTTTACCTTGCAAAGAACCAGGGTACACTTGAAAGTAACACACAGGCAGACCAAGTGCTGCAATTCAACTAAGGGCCTGTTTATATGCAGGAAGCCGGGCTGGCCTGCTTAGCGAGACAGGCAGGTGGGATGAATTTCTCTTGTGTTTATATGAGAAAATTTCATCCCGCTTGCTGGTTTTGACAGTTGTTAAAAATAGCTTGCGGCGGTATCTTTTATCCCAGCAACTGGGCTAGCCCGCTTGTGAGTGTTTATATGGAGAAATTTCCACCCCGGTAAGCGAGATCTCACCTCTTTTCAAGTGAGATCTCACCTCTTTTCAAGTGAGATCTCGGCAACCTGGCCAGCCCACTTGCCCATATAAACGCACAATAATTTTTACTATAAAAATAACTACACAGCGAGATCTCGCTTACCGGGCTGTCTCACTTAGCGGGCCAGCCCGGCTTCCATATAAACAGGACCTAAGTACCAGTCAATATAAGTCCCCGCTTGCTTGAATCTAGAAAGTGTGGGGTTCATGGGGCAAAGCAGGGCCACTGAGACAAAGCCAGACATTTATACAATCCAGCAATTTTGATTATGCAGTGCTGGGAAATAAAAACTGCCTACTTCTGGGTTGGGGGAAGTGGTAATTTACATTGTCTGGTATTGTACACTGAATAGTTATGGGGTCCCATGGCTGCCAGTTCTGTTGTCTTTAAAACGACTGCTAATTCTAAACTGCAGTGATTCAAAACATTCTCCAAACATGTTCTGGAGATTATGAGTAATATTTTAACTTTGGCACACACTCATATTTTGGAACAATCACCAAGGGGGCTGACTATAAATGTATCAAGATCTGTAAATATAAAATATAAATCTTACCTGCGATTTGCCTGCCTGCGAAAAGGTTAATCCACTTGGAACGTTTTCCGTGGTTGTGGACCTACGTTCCACATCGAATGCATCCTGCCCAACATCAGCGATTGCCCAGTTTGTGAAGCAACAACGTTGGCAAATGTTGAAGCTCTTGGAAGGTCTTCGAAAGACAGCAAATATTAACGCTGATTGCCCCGGCGACTTGCTTTGAAGAGGACGAAAGCGACCAAGAAAGTGAGGCAGCCGATGACGATTGACGACGAACCAGAAGACGAACAGAACGAAACCCTCGTGAACAGTTTATTAGCAAAAATATTAAGCCCTTCGCGAAGGTCAGTCAGACAATCGCCATTTTGCCAACCGGATATGTACTTTTAATGTACAGTAATGAGTCATGCGATATTGTACCTGTCAGTCGTGGATCGTTGTGACGCATTTCCGATGCGAAATGAGATCGATGAGATCAGATAGGTAATATTTAAAAACATGTCAGCTGTGGTGTGAGGAAAATAAGTTTAAACTGCCAAATCTACCATTTTTTTATGTGTGTGTAAAGATAGTGCAAGTGAGAGTCTGCTATTTTACGCGCGTCGAAACACTGTTATTCAAACATAAATATTTCGTGTTCTAGATCGAATTTAAAAAATCCCCCCGAGGAAATTAAAGAAGAAAGCATGCTTTATCAGAATTTGTCAGTTTTGGCGAAAAAAGTTTAATATCGAATGTCACCGAGGGCGTAGAACAAGGTGTTATTTTCTCACTCCTTTTGTTTACATGTTTCGAATTTCAGGCATTCTGATTGGTCAAGAACGCAAAATGTAAACAAACGCGCTGATTGGCTAACATTATTTGCCCTTGTTATAGCGTGTCGTGTCTTTTTTAAACCGTAGTTTCGATTTTCGAACATATTTTTTAAAAAAAACCCCGGTTCACTCGGTTTTTTCGGGGTTTTTTGGTCGGTTTTCGGTTTTTTGTAGAAACCGCCTCACACTAGGGAGAATCTTTATTCGTGGGAAGGCACTTAAGTAAAGTTACTAATAAGTAAAATAACTTACAAGTTCCACGCTGCATTCCTTCACCGTGACGTCATAAAACATGAACGTTTCTACTGGCTTTCGACTATCTTTTCAACTTCCGGAAAAGACACTCTACTGATTTCGGTAATACTATCCAATACTAACGAAAGCTACGGTTAATACGCATGTTAGCTTGCAAATTAAACACAAGTTTTTAAGAACAAAAGTCTGAAGGCCTTTGCATTGTATTTAATTATATTTATACACGGTAACCTATCAATTGATATTGATTTTCATAGATTGATATTGATTTTCACGAGGATTTTCATTGATTTTTGATGGAGGAGCGGCGCAAATCCGAAAAAACTATCGAGCACGGCAAATTTTGCAAATCAATACATTATAAAAATTCTGAAAAAATAACGTGCGGAGCCAATGGCCAAGAAAAAATTGTGAATATACTTACTGTGAATGTACTAGCCAACTCCTTAGAAAGTATAACAGATCAGGTTGGCTAAAATTTTATCAAAATACAACCAATTTGCGAGAACTGAAAATTTCAGTATCGTGGCTATCGTCATGGCAACAGTTAAGCCTGAGTCAAAGATTAGATACTATAAAGATGTGTCACTCGACGTATTTCCCTAATGTTTGCGTGTCCGTAATTTTCACTTACTGCCAAAATGGCGGCGAGACTGATGGCGTTGAATTTTACTATTTAAGAGATTGATGGCGTTGAATTTGACACTTACTGACAAAATGGCGGCTATAAAAAAATCTCGGACATAATTTTCGCAGAGTGACACATCTTTATAGTATCTAATCTTTGCCTGAGTGTTGGCCAGTTAGTAATACTTCATGTTAATTAAATCAATGTTTGGAAAATATAGGCGATGGCAGACCTGGAAAAAAGTGGGATCTCGGGATCCTGAGTAAAATTTGCCTGAGTAACAAGACTGAGGAACATTGTGAATTTTCCACATTTTAAAGAATCTAATCGTGTTTCAGATATATAATGTGAAACAAAACTAGCTTTAACAGTATATATGAACAATAATCTTTCCTCGCCAATTTTTCGTCAAATAATGGCAATATAATTGAGCTTCAAGAGTTTTAGGATTCTATTACAAAATAGTGCAGTAGTATATAGTTCTGTATTAAACCATATAATGAAGTTGTATTAATATTCGTGCAAAGTGAAAGAATATTTTTCTTCAGTATTTAAGCTGAGGACATTCAGTAATCGTAATTAGCCAACTTAGCCAAAATATGAATTTCTGAAGAAATTCTGTCCGAATTTCCATCCATGTCCATGCACGAGTATCAATGCGACAGTGCATGCACTTCTAAACTTTGCTGACAGTATGCCACGAGGAACATGTCTACTGGTGGTATGCCCTAGTATTAAAGAAACTATTGGTTCCATTCTTCAGTTGAATGAACAAAATACATAACCTTTTACAGTAAGTACATACAAACTAAAGCCTATTATACATACAGTAGGCTCTGTTTCAGTCTGCCTAAGTAAGGTTAGCAAGCTGTAAAACAATAATCAGTGAAGGTGTTATAAATATAAAAAGTACAGTACTGTTTTAATTAAACGTATTTATATAGGTGGTCAATTTATTTGAGGAACACTTGAAATGGGCAAACTTAGGATCCGACGAACATTGGATACTTTTTCCAAGTCTGGGCGATGAGGTTGCTGCATGCATGTATTTCTGGTATATTTTGTTCAGTTGAGAAAATTAGTCTTCTGGCACTCTGATTGACAGGGTATACGTAATACGTTGTGGAAGATAAAGCCGTATTATGTCCCCCAGTTCGTTTATCGCAAAGTTGCCATCACGGCCGGTTCCATTCAATTCAATGAATGAATAGCTCTAACTATTACTATACGGTTACTATATAGACATATAGTATACTATTTGCTCTATTTTGATATCGAGCACTCTAACATTTCGTGCATACTAAAACACACTTAATATCAAAATTATATCAAAATTATATCACATTATATTATATTATATTATATATTATAATGATTATATACAATGCGAATTACCACCCCGATCTGAGTTCTGCAATTAGTATATATAACACAATAAATGTTGAGTAATCAAAGTAAAATCCAACCTTATCTTACTGTATATAGTTCTTATTGCAAAGGAGTATATTTACAATTCTTTATAAAGTCTGCCAGTATAAAAGTATAAGCTGTTAACTCGCATATTGTCATATTGAATTGTTACAGAAAAATATACAATAATTTAAATTTTCACAGAAAAATGTATATATTTTTGTTACGTTTTATATTCACTTCAATTTGGTGATTCATGTCACGCAGAACGGAACCCGCCATTTTCCGTGAATCTAATCAACCTCACACTCAGGATTAATAAATAATACTAAATAAATTTGTACATAATACTATAATTATATAACACTATTAACAGACTTAAAAGTATAAACAAAAGATTAATAATTTAATCTTCTTCGTCGCATGAAAGGCTTGCTGTTTTTGACAGTCTTGTGGCTTTTGAATACTGCGTAGTGCTTCGTGTTAAGTTGAAGATAAGGTCAGAGAGGGTCTTGGGATCTGGGAGAGAACGCATGTTACTTCCTTTATTCAGATTAGAGAATGTTTTTCGTGGACGTAGGTTGTACTCACAAACTGGTGTTCGACGGTCTGCACAGCTAGTTGATAAAGTCTAAGAATAAAAACAGTGTATTTGATTTCATTAATTTTTCCAAATAATAGAATAGTATATCAATAAATATATTAGAATAGTATATATCAATATTAGAATAGTATATCAATATTATATCAATTAACGATTACATAATTGAAACATTACATAACAAAAATTAAAAATAAAACTGCATGTATAACATGACTATCCTATGTGATTTGAAATCAATTTCTCAATATCGTGTTACTATTTATTTCAAATTCAATATGATCTCCACACACATTGAAAACCAAAACCATAATTATTGTTCGTATATATTCTCTTATACGTGCATGGTAGCTTTCTAAACGCAGCGTTAGAACTTAGAAGGCATTATAGGTTTAGGTATAAGGGGCCAAGGTTAGGATATCGGATTTAGGATTAAGGTAATCACGGTTGCTAACAACTTGATTTGCTTTTAAAATTTTTATTTTATTTATTTTTATTTGCGTTGAACGTCGTTGTCGTGCTTGAAGTAGGAGATTGTGCTATATCAAGCGAGAGTGATATATACAGTAGCCTGTGGGACACAGACTGAGTTCTGCATGAACTTACCTGAGCCTGAGTATTGTCCAAAACAAATGTCGGATCTTCAGATTCCGACCCAGATCCACTTCCTTCTTCATTGCAATCGGAACTATCGTCTGTGTATAGATCTTCTTCAGAAAGACATGTTTGGTCCAGACTTGCTAACTGATATAAGACGGGATAATTGCCATCTGGGTAGTTAGAATTGCTAAATAGGAAACAAACAAAAATTGAAGTCATCCTGGCTTGGAGTAAGAATAAAATGTTCCAGGTGCTGTCGCTAAGGGAATCTTACAGTAGGTAGGCTAAGGCGCCTAAGATAGGCTAAGGTAGTATTGAAAGCGGCCTTTGCCTGAAGTGACCTAACGTCGAGTATTTGTACATCTTTTAAGTTGGTTTACATTATAGACGGTTCTTCGAGTATAGTGCAGTTTGACCACGCCTTAAAGTACGCGAATTATCAAATCTTCCAAAGGCTCAGGCCATTAACGATTAACGTCAGCGTTTCGAATTATTAAATACATGCATGAACAACATGAACAAATACACGCAAGAATTGTAGACATGGGAATCATATGCTAACACACTCTTACCGTTTCGTATACTCATGCATCATTAAGACAGTAACGGTCGCTTCGTACTCGGATTTTGATGGTGAATTGTGCGGTAATTGCAAGATTGCAAATACCACATGGCCATTTGCGTTTAATTGTGCGTGTAGAGCTTAGATGTAACAGCACACAGAGTCAGGTGAATATGACAACTAAAGGTTCTTTGAGAAAATATTTATATCGGAACTGCTTGTTGTTGACAACAGTTACAGTATATATTTGGATAGTATTGTCTATTGAAAGCTTTGAGGCCATTGTGCACACTGCACACTGTTAACTGTTAAGTCATTATGACTCAATGTAAAAAATGAATTCGTTTTTTCACTTGTTTTGTAAAAATAAGAAAACATTAGCTAATTAGGCAACTGTGACTGTGTGTGCTGTACACAGACCGTGAATTTTGTAGGAAGCAGAAGTGTGCAAAACACTGGTTTCACTAACGAGAGTGCATGATAGGGAGTGAAAAACAGATCTGATCATCAGCACCAAACTGGAAAGAATGGTTCTTAAAGGTATTTATAATATAGCATTTGTAAAGTCTGAACGCTGATTGGCTAAGAGCCGTGTTGATATAACTCGATGTCAACACGGGAAATTTTCCGTCGCTTGTAAACACGGAAATTTTTCTTATCCTTCGGGCTTTTGACATTGCTATATTATAAAAAAAATATAAAACTTTTTTTCCGTATTGATATATAGTTATATCAACACTCGTGGAAGTTGGGAAAACTCGAAATTGTATGAAAACACTCCGCCCTTCGGGCGTCGTGTTTCCATACAATTTCTCGTTTTCCCAATTCCACTCGTGTTGATATAACTGTATATCAACACGGAAAATGTTTTATATTTGTTAAGTCAAAAGTCACCAATTTATGTAATACACTTCTTTAGCAGGAACACCATAATTTTCGACAAAATTAATTGAAATGATGCAATGCAAGAAAAGAAATCTGAAGACAAACAACTATTAATTAAAATTGATTCCTACCCTCAATTCCCATTCCTTCCACAATATTGATGTGACTGTGGGTAAATACGTGCTTGATTGTGATCATAATTGCGGTCGTTACAACACTGTGTGTTTGGGTTGGTTATACTTGCATGCACGGTTACATCTCTAGTTCTATAAGTATAAACTGTGGTAAACGGGTTACATGTGCTAGCAAGTAGCAAGTGAAAGTGCACTCATTTCAGCCTTTTGGCCAGAACCCCATGATCAATTTTAAATTTGCCAACTGAACTGGTTAAGGTGAGCTGTCAGCTGTAGATTGCTCACTAAGAAACTATGGGGAGCTAAGCATGTACCTGTCAGTGAATTTTTCCTCCAAATAAAATGATTTATTGATACCATCAGTAAGGCACTTTCCTATATCTGTTCCTTTGAGTTTGAGCTTCCTTATCTCTATCTGGATATCTCTTAACATATTGTAATTGACTCTACCATAATCACAGTACTTAGTTGCAAAATAAACCAGAATGAGAAAACTTTCAAAGACAAATATCTTTCTGAATATCCAAAGATGACCATGAATAATTTCCTAACATGAGAAAGCAAATAAAAGTAAAATGTCAATGAACTGAAGAGTGGCTAGACTTATCTGTCAAACAGCTGTTAAACATAAACATAGCTAGTGGGTATCATAGTTTAAGGTATGGACCTTCTAACATTAACGCATCTACATCGTAAGTGGGTATAAACCTAACACATTTTTAGTGAAAAGTAATCTACTCTACCATGACAGCAACATTCAGTAAATTCTGTAGAGTATTAGGGCAAAACTCTTCAATATTTTAATCATGAAATCCTGAGGCCGAAGTTGGCGAAGAAAAATAAACTGTCGTTCTGGTTTCATATCCTCAAAAAATTAGGTGGATAGGTTGGGAAAATTGTTTTTGAAAAGTTTTTTTTCGTCAGCAATGACCATTATCAACCGTGATCAGTTGGCATTGTCACAGAGAATATTAAACATTTCAAGAAGTAATTTACCTGAGACAGCGGGCACCATTTTTGGTGTCATGTTGTACAATATAGAGCAAGCAATGAAAAAAGTAAACAGACACCCACAACCACATCCAAAAAATATCAGAGTTGTCTGAATAAATGAGGTTGATCAGGAAACTGGAAATACTCAGGATAATTTGTTAGGCCTGATATATGTTTACAGATGCATTGAAGTTACACCCATGAGATTGCAGTGCTACCCAATGTGATCTAGTTTGTTAACTCATTCTACTAGTACTATAGCCTGCGGGCAGCCCCATACCACGTAAACGAGGGAAGGGACTGCGAAACAATGCCGAATAGCTTGCTACGCGCTTTTCCAGCTTTTGGGGAAAATAATTTATGCAAGAAAATTAATACGCTAAATATGCAGGGGCGTGAATATGTAAATTCAATATGGCGTATTGCAAGGAACGCATTATATTTGACGAAGACAAGTTTTCAGAAGCAGTGAATATCGCTTGCTGTCTTCTAAAAGTAAATTCTTTTTATCATGACCAAATAGAAGCTCTTCGAAATTTTTTCAAAGGCAATGATTTATTCTTCAGCGCTCATACTGGATACGGGAAATCGTTAATTTTTCAAGCAATACCGATTATTACGGATGTATTGCAAGACCAAGTGATTAGCACAAGTACAGTGCTTGTTGTTTCGCCTTTGTTGTCCCTCATACAAGACCAAATTAAGCATGTCAACGAAACCTTCAGTATCTCTGCTGCTGGGATATTTGATGGACAAGAGGAGGAGATTATACGAGATATTGAGGACGGTGTATATTCATTGCTCTACACGACACCCGAAGGTTTGTTGGGAAATAAACGATGGAGAACGTTAGCAAGTTCACAAACATTTCGCGAACAGTGCGTAGCAATCGTTGTTGACGAGGCACACTGTTTGGTGCAGTGGTAAGTGTATAAAAGAGATTATTATATTAACACATTAAAGTGAACAGAAAATGGACTGAAAAGTTAGCCACATAGCCTGATATGTGTCTCCTTTACTGTACATATACTGAAACAATCTTTGTCTGTCACAATATTAATTTTCTACTGACAAAATTTTTATGTTCAAATTTTAGGGGACAGTCCACATCTCATCGGGCAGCACCATTTAGGCAATGGTATACCAACCTTGGTGAACTCAAGTCCTTGCTGTTGTCATCAACAAGATTTGCCATATTTACAGCAACAGCCACCAAAGCAACTAAGAATACAATATTCAAAATGCTAAACTTGAGTACTCTCACAACATACTCAATTGAAAAACCACCACTACGTAGTAACATTAGTTTTAGGTTTGTGTATGTGCACAAAGAACAGCCTTTAGAAACCGTTTTTGCATTTTTGGTGCATGAGTTGAAAGCCTAAGGAATTGATGCAGATAAGTGTATAATTGTTTGCCAAACAAGAAAGCAATGCTCACTAATTTATCGTATGTTCCAAGTGGCTTTAGGAAGCATCAACTTTTTGAAAGATTCCTCTGATTATGAGAATTGCCTTGTTCAAATGTTTCATGCTGGAAGTCCAGATTCTGTGAAAACCCATGTTGTCAAGGAAATGACAAAATTTAATAGTCACTTGCGCCTTCTCGTATGCACTATAGCATTTGGAATGGGCATTAACTGCAAGGGAGTTTATCGCAGCATTCACTTTGGCCCTTCAACCACAGTAGATAAGCTTGTCCAAGAAACTGGAAGGTTGGGAAGAGATGGTAAACAGTGTTTCTGTTATGTCCTATTCAACGGTCTTCTTATGGCTCATTGTGATATCAAAATTAAAGAGCTTGTTGAAACAGAATGTTGTAGAACAAAGTTCATTCGTCAGCTTTTTCCTGGAGATGCACATGATTCAAACCAGTCAGGCTGTCTTTGCTGTGACTGGTGTAGCAAAAAGTGCACCTGCTTAGACCATGGAACCATACCTGGTGTCTCATTCGATTTCTGGCGTAGCAAGCTATTCGGCATTGTTTCGCAGTCCCTCCCCTCGTTTACGTTGTATGGGGCTGCCCACAGGCTACTAGTACTACAGTATCTGCCAAATGATTACATGCCTGTCAAAAATGCATGCAAAAGCACAAATATGCTTCAACTTCTTTAACTTACATCCTGTTTCTGCTAAATTTCCGATGAACCTAGAACATATCATTCTTACAAATTGTATGTTTTTTGTTTTGGGAATTGCTAATTTTTGGCAGTAAATTACATCACAAACTTGGCACCAAAAAGTCAAAAATATTAAAATATTAAGCCATTGGTGATTTCATGAATTCATTTAGAAGAGAAGACTGGGATCTGTTTCTAAAAACGACCATTTTTGCGAAGATACAGCGATATGTTGAAAAATTTGCCATATTGTTACTAAAAAAAGAACAAAATGGCGTACTTTTTTAGAAACTCATTATACTTATCTTCGGGAGAAATGGTTGTATTTTGAAAATGATTTCAGTTTTAAGATACCCTTAGTCTGCTCTACTAAATGGATAAATGAAATCATGTATTAATAGCTTATTTAGCGCCAAGTTTGTGACGTAATTTTACCCGCCAAAAAGTAGCAATTCCAAAAACAAAAAACATACGATTTGTAAGAATGATATGTTCTATGTTAATGCAAAATTTAGAAGAAACAGGATGAAAATTAAAGAAGTCTGAATACTTTCTCCTTGACCAATAAATTGTATATAGGTGAGGCTAAACAAATTAGGGGATCTGGGAGAAAATTTGACATGCAGAAACTATGTCATTTTTTCAAGCAGTGAAGAATCTGATATTGATTCTCCCACTTTGATCTTTTATTTGGGGGGGAGGGGGGGTTAGCCCCACACTTCTATTTTTAGGGGGCTATAGCCCCTCACTCAGACTCGATCAGGTAGCCTCTACTGGTTCTGCTACTTATGGTATCAGAAGAAAATCGTAAATAAAGTAAATGTTTATGGTTTACAAACCCACTGCATACCGTGGTTGTGCCAGATTGTTGTGATTCCTTATCTGTTATATTCCATCTGACAATCAACCTCTCAATAACAATATGTGCTGAAAGAACTCCGAATAGCCACAATCTTGCGGCTGCTGTCCTCGGGGCACTGGTTATGATATAACATGCCAAGATTGACACCAGGTAAAACCCTAATGAATGTAGGGTCATGAACTCTCCCAGAAGCATGGACTGAAGTTTGGTTATTCTATCGACACCCTTAAACAGACTATCAAAGGTCTCCATCAGCACAGCTTTCTGCTGGGCAGTTGCTTTCTTCATATCCAAAAATGCCTCCTTTGCACTTTCTGCTGATGTTTTTAAAGCGCTTTTCAGGTAGGCTTCGTTCTTCAGAATTTCTCCTTGATTGGACAGGGAACTCTCTTGACCTTCCAAGACCTTTTGTTGATTGGTCAAGGAAACTTCTAATTGATTAGCGACCACGTTTGAAGTGCTTGATAGTTTGTTGATAGTATCCTCGGTTTTCTGCTGCCAAACTTTACTCTGAAGGTAAAAACAAATATCCGAAGTGTGTGTATAGAATTCTGTATAAGTGTTGAACGCCAATACGCTTTTGGCCATGTCTCTTGTACACTCTTCGATTGAATCGTTTTCGCTACACGGATATTTCCTTAGCCCAGACTTCTCAAAATGACAATTGGCGAAGGCAATCGCGAGTCGACTTTGCTCGACGTCTGTGAGATGTTTACAGCCAACCCGAAGCCGAGAAATCGCTTCTTCCCAACACTCGCTGTGGTCGGCACGCGAGCGAATTCTTTGAAATTCTTGTTCGCCATTTTGTAAACGTTGTCGCTGATCGGACGAGTGATCGAAGGGCAATTCGACGTTGTTTCCATGCACGAGAGTTTCGAGCAAGGCGAAAATCGCCAAGGTAATTAGTACAAACGATAGAGACCCGCAAGTCATGTTGGTTTATTTCCATACTGACAATGTGCATTATCACATCAATTTATGTTGTGTCATTAGTTGTGTCACGACCTATGGTCACGACTCGTGAATGTTACCCCCCCTCTTGCGATTCACCAAAATTCCTTCTGGGAGGAAATAGTCAACCTGATACTCAGGGTTTTCACGCGGAAGTGAAAACCCTGAGTATCAGGTTGGGAACTTAGTCTAGGACCTGTATATGAGTTTGTATGCGATTCATTTAGGACAGGTAATCTCAACTGTTTTAGGGTAAAATGACCATGGCGGTCAACATGGCATATGTGCGAAAACCTGAATCCGGGACGAAAGTCCTGAAAATGACCCCGCCCTGAAACGGCAGTGTCGACATAGCTCTAACTTCCGAAAAGGAAAAGCGATAGCCTTTCTGAAGTGCTTATAGTGTTTAGAAGGGTTGCTTTTAGGGGTGGTCATTGGAAGGAAAAATTTGTCTAAGTATAATATTTTACCAGAAAATGACTATGCACCACCCCAGGTAAATTGCTGATTATGCACAAAATAACTAATATGCCTGGCAGAAATTAAATATTCTTATTTCCTAAAAAAAATTATCATGGGGTGAAAAACTATGCTTAATTTAATATAAATATTGTTGATTTCATAAGGATTGTCATTGTTTTCTTTAAATATAATACATTTTATTTCACTTACCCCCACGAAAACACGATTTCAGCCATATTTTGCCGTCTTGTTTGCTTTTTATCGCCGAATCTCGCAAATATCATCCAGTTATTGTACTTTTACATAATCATAAATGGCTGAAGAAGATTTCAAAGAAGGTTTCATCCACTTTTGTAACAGTGCAGTGTATTTTACCTTCGATATTGTGTCCTTCGATATTCCACCAAATTGCCGCCATTTTAATGGCTCGCCGCTTCTCTGTCTGATAAATGCAACTTCTTCGTTTCCATATGTATTTAGATTACAGTATCCAAGAGTACTTCATTGTAGAATAGTCCCAATCCAAAAATTGGCAATATTTGTCCCATTAGGAAGGAAAAATCCTCCCGTATACCATTTAGGTTCAAAATAAAAAACAAATCATTTGAAAGTCACGCGCAATCTTCAGGAAAACTTCTCGTGGACACATGACAGGGGGGGTTGAATATTTTCACGAATATGTTCGCCACCACAGAAACATAACTAAATATATTGTATTTATTGTATTTTTATGATTTATGACAAAACGACGCAAATATTTATTGTTTTTATTATAAATCATAAAAATACAATAAATACAATATATTTAGTTATGTTTTTCCTTCCTAATGGGACAAATATTGCCAATTTTTGGATTGGGACTATTCTACAATGAAGTACTCTTGGATACTGTAATCTAAATACATATGGAAACGAAGAAGTTGCATTTATCAGACAGAGAAGCGGCGAGCCATTAAAATGGCGGCAATTTGGCGGAATATCGAAGGACACAATATCGAAGGTAAAATACACTGCACTGTTACAAAAGTGGATTAAACCTTCTTTGAAATCTTCTTCAGCCATTTATGATTATGTAAAAGTACAATAACTGAATGATATTTGCGAGATTCGGCGATAAAAAGCAAACAAGACGGCAAAATATGGCTGAAATCGTGTTTTCGTCGGGGGTAAGTGAAATAAAATGTATTATATTTAAAGAAAACAATGACAATCCTTATGAAATCAACAATATTTGTATTAAATTAAGCATAGTTTTTCACCCCATGATAATTTTTTTTAGGAAATAAGAATAATTAATTTCTGCCAGGCATATTAGTTATTTTGTGCATAATCAGCAATTTACCTGAGGTGATGCATAGTCATTTTCTGGTAAAATATTATACTTCGACAAATTTTTCCTTCCAATGACCACCCCTAAAAGGAACCCTTCTAAACACTATAAGCACTTCAGAAAGGCTATCGCTTTTCCTTTTCGGAAGTTAGAGCTATGTCGACACTGCCGTTTCAGGGCGGGGTCATTTTCAGGACTTTCGTCCCGGATTCAGGTTTTCGCACATATGCCATGTTAACCGCCATGGTCATTTCACCCTAAAACAGTTGAGATTACCTGTCCTAAATGAATCGCATACAAACTCATATACAGGTCCTAGACTAGTATTATTTACGACCACCGGGAGTCCGCATTGTCGATTATAATTAGTTGCGCAAGACGCAAGTCAATACAAATGCAACAATTTCATGTTGTATTTCATATTATAAAGTTGTAGTTTCATATTTTATTTATAAGAAATAATCAAGGCGATGTTTGTGTACAATATAAACATGAAATCATGGGTATTCATCGCACTTGTATGGACTTGCAGACTTGCGCAACTAATTATAATCGACAATGCGGACTCCCGCTGGTCGTAAATAATACGGCTTAATGGCGATAGCTTTCTTTCTTTATTTGATAGAAACTATGACTTTCGTCCGTTTTGTGGACAAGGTTACAATACATAAGCAACGATAATTTTATGCTAAATGGATAAAGCACAACACAAACTTGATAGTCATAACTTGATATACTTACATTAACACGAATATTCAAAATATATTTAAATAAATACGCACAGTTACGGAATAAATTGACATAAAACGCAAAATATTTACTTTGTTTAGCCAT